GATCCCCCCCCCCCAAAAAAAAAAAAGTGTATAAGTGGAGTATTTTACTTTAATTCTTTCTCAGAACGGCCAGAAATGTCCGATAGACCTATATACTTCTAATGTAACGACTTGTCTCACTCATCCTTTGATTGATCGATTGATTGAGTAGGTGTTTTACGGCACTATCGACTCAATTTTGGTCATGTAAGTGCCATCCTTTGACCACCAGGAGCTGTAGCGTTCACTACTTCCCCGACTCTCGGCACCTACACTCTGTCAATCAGAGCCTCAGACGACTGCGGGAACACGGTGGACGGGACACTGACCATCGAGGTGACCAACCAGGATCCGACTTTCAGCAACCTGGACCACACTTTATCGCAACCCAAGGGAGACTTCTCCGTCTCTACAACTGTCTACACCGTGCTGGCCACCGACGTGGACTCAGGAACAGACGGAGATAGCTTGACCTACAGCTTGACCTCTGTCACGCCCACTGCGGACTTCTCCATTACTTCAGGCACCGGTGAGATACACTTGTGATTATTACTTTTAGTCTTAGTAAGATTTATACGGCACTCGTAACACAATAAGGTCATATAAGTGCCGAAGAATAGATGTGTGACAAGAGAGTAACGTACACAAAAAAGAAGGAGGAGAGATAAGGACGATAGATGTTCGATAGGAAAGAAGGAGCTAACCACACCAGAACACCCACCAACCACCTACGACTATTACTTTGCCTTTGCTTTACTTTGCTTTACTTTGCTTTACTTTGCTTTACTTTGCTTTACTTTGCTTTACTTTGCTTTACCGGCCTCTATTACCTTAAGGTGTCGAGGGGAGAAGCAAACATCTTTCTCTAATTTGTTGCACCGCCTGTTGCTTGGTTATAATTATTGTTTTAACCTGTATGATATTTGTAAGGCCATTGTAAACCAAATTTCCTCACGGTGATCAGTGAAAGGGGAATGTTATTTTAATTAATTAATTAGCTCGTTCTTTTATTCATTTATTCATTTCTCTCCCTCTCTCTCTCTCTCTCTCTCTCTCTCTCTCTCTCTCTCTCTCTCTCTCTCTCTCTCTCTCTCTCTCTCTCTCTCTCCCTCTCTCTCTCTCTTTCTTTTTTTCTTTCTTTCTTTCTTTCTTTCTTTTTTTCTTTGGTTCTGCCTATGTTAATTAATTAATTAATTCATTCATTCATTCATTCTTTTATTCTTCCACTCATTCTCACACACATGTCCAGGCGCTGTGTCCCCGAGCACCTCGGCTCTGACGCTGGGTACGTACACACTGAGTGTGATGGCGTCTGACTGCTGTGGGGGGACGGCGAGCGGGACGCTCACCATAGAGGTGAGGGTCATTAATGTTTAAGTCGAGGATGACCATGGAGGTGAGGGTGAATGTTAATGTCCACGTTGATCATAGAGGTGAGGTTGATCAATGTTTTAAGTCGACGCTGATCATAGAGGTGAGATGAATTAATGTTGATAGCGACGCTGACCATAGAGGTGAGGTGAATTAATGTTAATGTCCACGCTGACCATAGAGGTGAGATAAATTAATGTTAATATTGTTAATGTCGAAGCTGATCATAGAGGTGAGGTTAATTAAAAGTTTATGTCTACGCTGACCAAAGAGGTGGGTTAATTAATATTAATATAGTTAATGCCGACGCTGACCACAGCGATGAGGCTAAAAATAATTTTACTTTCGAGGCTGATCATAGAGGTTAAGATCATATATTATGTCGATTTTGACGTTTACAATAGAGCTGTCTCCGTCGTTTTATGCAAAAAATAAATAAATGAAATTATGCAAATTGATCCCAAAAATGTGACATTATGCGATTATGTAAATTTTAACAAAGAATGATGAAAGAAAATAATTAGAAATTATGCAAAAAGTGATCAAATTTTGCTAAATTATGTGAGGTGCATAAAACCACGGGGGCAGATAGAGGTGAGGCTAAATATTAATTTCGAGCTGACCAAAGAGGTGAGGCTTAAGT